GCGGCACAGACCGCGCCTGCGAGACATCTCCCTCGGCGACCGCCACCATAGTGCCGGCCACCGGCAACTCGTCATCATCTTCGTCTGCCGATACCTCCTTCACCGTGCAGGTAAAGGCGGGCTTCTCGACCTTTGGCGTCTCCTCGTCCGCTGCGTCCATGGCGTCTGCATCCTGAACAGTCTCTACAGCTGGAATCTCGGACGAGGGGATTATCTTTGGGTCGACACAATCGTAGAATAGCATAAAGACGTTACCCTGCGCCAGCAGCTCCTCTTCGTCAACCTTGCGGAGAGTGTCGTCGCTGAGACGCCACCAGTCCATCTCCGCATCGTCCTCCAGAGTCTCCGACTTGGGCGAGACAACCTCCTCGCCATCACTCGGCGGCGAGTGTCGGGGAAACTTGCGGTAGCAGACGTAGTGCCCATTTTCGTGACGACCATAGTGCGTGACGACGGCCCGCAGCTCGTATATCGGCCCAGTAATGAACGACTTGCGCTTGTCGCCCGCAATCATTGAGGACCGCGGATCCAACAGCCACTGCTCCTCTTCCTCCAAGCCGTCAGCAGAACCCGTCTTGCTGGCACTACCCAAACACCACGGACCCAAGTCCAACGTCAGAGGGAACCGGATTCCCGACGAGTTCTTGTACATCATGCCAGTGTTCTCGTCAAACACGGACCTGTTCATGTGGACGGCGAGACTATGCGGTGGCCGCGCAATGACGGCCTGCTTCGTCTTTGTTGATGAGACCTTGAAGTTTGAAGGGAACTTGCACTTTTCCGTGAGCGTCTTGTCCTCGAAATCGTCCTCTTCCAGCGCCTCCTCCACAGCCGACAGCCGCGACTTTGGCTCCTTGAGCTTCTGCTCGTCAGTGTACGACGCTTCTGCTCTCTCGACGAGGAGGGTCAGCAGCCTCTTGGCTTTCAGAAGCGTGCACTTTCCACACTCGACGCCCTCGATCGACTCAATATGGGCGTACGCGTCTAGAAGCTCGTACAGATCGTGGTCGTTGCCGCCCACATTCAAACTGAGCGTGAGGCAGTTGAAGGGGATCATGGAAAGGCCGTCAGAGTGTCCACACTCGACGCAGGCCACCCGCTGAGCAATGAGCCCCTCAAGGGGGTTCCGCAGAGACTTGGAAGCCGCGCTAATCTTGGAGGCCGTCGACAGACTCTGGTAGCCGCTGTCGTCGCTGTGCTGGCTCGTGGCAGTGTCGTCGCTGGCGCAGTCCGACTCGAAGCCCGACGACTTGATGGTCGCCTTAGCCACCTTTGCAATCTCCCTGTCCACCTCGTCGAGCAGCTTTGAAAAGTATTCCTGCGCATCCTGCTGCTGCCACGTGCTCATGTTCTTGAGGGAGCCTGGCGTCCATAACGTCTTGCCGTAGTTGCTAGCGCTGTTGAGGTCCTCAATCAGGTTCCGCAGCGTGTCGACGGCCTCGACTTTGCGGCGGTCGATCTCGGGGTCCTGGACAGGGTCGGCCAGGTACTTTGGGAACGGCTTGAGTGAGGCGAGCCCTTGGAGGATGCTGTTCTGGTAGCACGAGTTGTCGAGGTTCCCTAGGCCCGGCGGGTAGTTGCTGGAGCCCTTGAGGCTCATCATGGCCCCGGAGACGGACGACAGCCCTCGAATGCCGGCTTGCGAGACCGTCCCCATGATGCCTCCCTGTCTGTCCATGCCGAGAATCTTTTTCAGAAGCGCACTCTTGGCCGCATGTGTTCTGGCTTGGTTCTGGAGCATCGGCCGCGGAACGAGCGGCGGATGCAGCCAGGCTTCCAGAAGGGTCAAGGCGTCGTGGGGGATAAGCCAGACGATTACGTCCCAGAGGGTCCGAGAGGCGTGCGAGAGTAGGGTGGTCGGAAGGGAAGCGCCGAAAACAGAGACGAGCGCTGTGAGGACGAGGGCAAAGAGGGACACGACGACGCTCGGCTCCGTCAGCCTCGTCCAAATGGTCTCGTCGGCGTGAAGTCGTCGGTGGTAGTCGGGTCCGCCGTAGTGCTTGAATGCGGGAGAGTTCATAGTCGGGATTGTATACGGGTGCTTGTGGGAGTTGGAGCTTCAGGCGAGCTTCTGCAATGCTATTTCGGAGAGGCCACGCGCTGCCATGTCGAGAAGACGATTCGAAAGGTGTCCAGTCGTGGCGATGCTCGCTGATTAAGTGGTTGTGGGTGAGTAAGGCTCTGGAATGTCTGCACGGATGGTGTTGAGGCGTCGCGGCAGTGCTAGAAGGAAAGATGCCAAAGTTGAGCGGGACCAGGGGTTCCACAGGGGCAACGCTGCGACAAGGATTGGTCAGAGCGCGGTCCCAAGGCTTGTGATCGCCCCGCTTATCGTGATAAGATAGCGTGCAGGTCGATAAGGAATTTTATATCCCCCACACCGCGGCGAGTCTGGCGGTGCAGTCTACACCACAGAACTCGATACGATCGCAAAGATGGGCGCATCCAAGAAGAATAGACGTGAGCCTGCAGTCTCTCTTTTTACTATGACATCTGTCTAACACAAGCAGAACCCTCGCTCCACTCGAGAGCCGCAAGGCGGGCGACGGACGTCGACATCGACACCGACAAGTCTCTCAAAGAAGTCAAGGCCCCGGCCGCCGCGACCGACTTCCGGCCGTCGGTCCTCAACGCCCAGCACAACTCTGGTGTGTCCAAGAAGACCAAGAACCGCAAGGCGCAGATGAGCGCCAAGGCCAAGGAGAGGAAAGAAAAGGCGGCGGACCGCGCCGAGGCCATCATGGGGCGGACCTCGACCAAGACGGAGAAGAGCAAGGACAGGGCGCGGAGGGTCCAGACGCGGAGCAAGCAGTGGGAGGACATTAACAAGGGGGCCATTGCGGCCAAGAAGTTCCCCGACGAGGAGGACTCCGAGGTGGAGCAGAGGCAGACGAAGAGCAGGACCGTCGAGGTGGCTGCTGGCAAGGGCTGGGAGACGGACGAGGAGATGGACGGCGCTGATGATGATGTCGCCGCTGCGTCTGCGCCAGCTGCTGCTGCGCCGGCACCTCCCCCAGCAAACGACGATTTCGACGAGGAGATTTTGTAGTCCGTTGTCAGTTTCGGTTCAGGTTGCCCAGAGAGGTGGTCCTCGGGCTATGAGACTCATGATAGATACCCAATGATGACCATTCTGCATGCAGGTCCTTGAAAGTTTTCGAAAGCCTCGACGCAAAGTGCATGCCGCCCTTCTGCCTCAGTCGGTCACAAATTTGGACGCCTTGGAGGGGCCAAAAGCTCTGCGACAGCGCCAGGTCCACTAAAAACGCTAAACTTACAGGGCCACCCAGCGGGGAAACACTTGTGCAGTTCCGTCCCTCCGCCAGGGGACCTGAGGTGCCGTACCTTGCAGCCTCGATTTTCTGCCGGACGTCATCCAATTCACCATCCACGCCATCCACACAAACCACAAGATGCCACCCAAGCGCATGACCGCGAACCCGGTCAAGCCGGGACGCTACTTCCCCGGCAAGGCCGTCCCCCAAGAGGACTCATCAGACTCGGACGCGAGCGATGACGAAGAAAAGGCAAACGACGACACAACCAAGGCCCGCGCGATCAAGCCGCCGCCAAAGGCATCGAGCGCAGCCAAGATCGCGAGCAACGTCAGCAAAGTCAACCTCGACGAACGGAGGCGCGAGGCGCAGGACAAGGAGAACCAGAGGATAGCGCGCGAGAAAGCGGAGCGGCTCGCTGCGGAAGAAGGTTTCGTCACAGAAGAAGAAGAGGAAGAGGGGGAAGATGACGATGAAGGCGAAGAAGAAAGCTCCAGCGAGGAGGAAAGCAGCAGCGAAGAAGAAGCACCCCGCCGCCTCATGATCCGACCCAAGTTCATCCCAAAAAACCAGCGCAACGCAGCAGCGGCAGCCGCCAAAGGACAGTCGTCCACCAAAGACGACGAGACGCGCCAGGCAGAAGAAGAGGCCCGCCGCAAAGCTGCCGCCGACGCCCTCGTCGAAGAACAAATCGCAAAGGACCTCGCCGCCCGCGCCGCCGGCAAAAAGCACTGGGACGACGACGAGGCCTCGGGCTCCGACGTCGACACGACAGACGACCTGGACCCGGAGGCCGAACTCGCAGCCTGGCGCCTCCGCGAGCTGAAACGCGTCAAGCGCGAGCGCGACCGCATCGCCGAGCAGGAGGCCGAGTACGCCGAGCGCGAGAGGCGGCAGAATCTCACGCAAGAGGAGCGCGACGCCGAGGACGCGGACAAGATTGCCGCGCAGCAGGACGAAAAGGACGCCAAGGGCAAGATGTCGTATCTGCAAAAGTACTACCACAAGGGTGCGTTCTACAGCGAGGAGGCGAAGGCGTACGGGCTCGATAAGCGCGATCTCATGGGCATGCGTATTGCGGATGATGTCAAGGATCGCAGCGCGCTGCCGGAATATCTGCAGAAGCGCGACATGACGAAGTTGGGGCGCAAGGGCGGGACAAAGTACAAGGATCTCAAGAGCGAGGATACCGGACGATGGGGCGAGTTCGATGACCGGCGTGGCGGGGGTGGTGGTGGTGACCGGAGGAGAGGCGGCTTCGATAGGGATGTGGACGAGCGATTCCGGTCGGACAATGATCGTGAGGTTAACGGTGCCAACGCCATTCCCTTGGGTGACCGCAAGGCGCCTTCAGCTGGTGGTAGAAGTGATCGTGATAGGTATCGCGACGACAGAGACGACCGGCGTAGAGACTGGGACGACTACCGCCGTCGAGATCGGTCGAGGTCGAGGTCGCCGCGCCGCGACTCGCGGGACGACTACAGGGATAGGCGGAAGCGCAGCCCGTCACGCGAGAGAGAGCGCTACGACAGCGACAAGCGGAGGCGCGTGGACTCTAGATAAACCCACCAAAAGAGAAAAGACACTGGTCGTCATTGCAAAATGTATTAAGAAGCGTATCCTGATCAGGCTCACTACGAGCGCATGCTGAATATACCCTCCCAACCAAACTCCGAGGCCTTGAAAGAAAACCCTTTGCCATCGTAAACGTCATGCAGGTGCGCTTCAAATCTTTTTAATCTCCACCCTCGCGCGCTCAAACACGCCGTGGCTTACCACGGCCGCGGACTGGCCCGCGTCGGCCTTGGGAGGGAACAGCGTCAGGCGGGCGTACGTGCCGGCGCCGCGTCTCTTTGATAGGTAGCCCGGGTTGATCACGACGACGCTCTCGACGACCTAACATTGTCAGTATGATCCCACAGTATACAGTCGACAGACTCACCTTGGCAAACGGGGGCAGGAAGCTGGGCGCCACGAGCACATCAGGGCGAACGTTGACCATCTCGCCCAGCTTCAAATAACTAAGATCCAGCATGGCACCAGGCGGGATGCCCTCCTCGGTCCCCGTCTTGGGCAGCTTCTGGCGGTCCGTCGGCGGGAAGAGCGGGAAAAAGTGCCTCTGCTCCAACAGGTACCTGCTAAGCCTCGACAACAGCGACGGATCCGCGGGGCGGCCGCCAACGAGCTCCTCGTGCCGCAGCTGCCAGAGAATATCCTGCGACGAGATGCCCATGACCATCTCGTTGACGGACAGCGTCATCGGGTTGGTGACGATCCTCGCCGTCTTGGGGAGGCCGAGCTCCTTCTTCAGGACCGAGTCCTGCGGCCACGAGACGTGCTTGTCGATGACGTCGCGCACCGAGGGGACGAGGAGGATGGTGATGCTGGGGTTGGCGGACACGAGGCGGTTCAGGGCCGGGGAGAACATGTACTTGAAGACGGTCGACATGGTGGCCGTGTCCGGCTCGATGACGGCTTCCTCGGGGAGGTCAAAGTCGCCTATCGCAATTAGAGGGTGCTCGCTGTCGATGAACGGCCCCGTCAGCACCAGTGCGTCCGCGTACGTGTCGGCGGCTTGGTCGCAGAGGGCGTGCAGCGGCTCAAAGTCGAGGTTGTCATCTGCCGTGTACGGGCCGGAGGCGTAGAGAATGTTGAGGGGCGCCGGGTCTGAGTCGGTGTCCATGGCGTCGGGGTCGCCTCGTAGTTTCTCGCGGTGCGCAGCCAGTGCGGCCGGCGTCGAAGCCGCGTTGGGCAGAAGAGGCACTTCAAGCACATCCTCGACGACAAACTCGTTGCCCGAGGTGTTGATGCCCCTGAGGGCCACAATCTGGCCGGGGAAGAAGCTGTACCCCTTGTTGCGCATGTTAAGGGGCGCTCGCAGACCACCGCCCACCCGTCTCGACATCTCTAGCACCAGTGACGCCGCGTTCAGCTTTCCCTCTGGCGCATCCGAGGCGATGCGTCCCACGGCAATCACCTCTGTCGTGCTCTGGCTCGCCGCGTTGCCGAATTCTGAAAAGTCCAGCTTGTGGTAGTCCTGGATGATGTGCATAAACTCGTCTATCCTGTCATCGAGGATCTCCGACGCCTCTGACAACTTCATCGCCAGGGGCTTGTACGCCAGCTTCTTCTGGTCTGACGCCGCCGTCAACTTGATGCGGGGTTCGGGGTACGGGCAAATTGGCGGCTCGGGAGCGTCGAGGTGGTCGTTAAGCACTTCCACCGTCTCGCCGGCGTTCTGTCGGTCGTTGAACGAGCTGGGTCTGCCATCGTCAGTGTCTGTGTGAAGTGTAGGGCCTGCGTTCCTACAGTGACATTGCGTTGAGCTGCTCCTCCATCTTGGAGGCGCCCTTGTAGTCTGGCGAGCTCGAGGGGATCTCGGCCTTGACCCGCGACATTGTCGGCGTCTCATGCGTCTTCTTCCGCAGACTGCTCGGCTTGTTCAGCCTCCCTGAAGCCGGCGTACTGGGCACCAGTCCATCCAGCATGCCAAAGACGTCGCCGCCGCCTCTTCCGGCTCGCGGGGTGCCGTGACTGCGCTTCTCCGTCTTAATGTGCGTCTGCTGTCGGTTGCTCTTCTCCAGTGCGTCCTGGATATCCTTTTTGAAGTTTCGCACGTGCACAATGTCGGGGTTCATGGCGTCCATGTCCATCTTGATGCAGAAGGACTCCCATTTGTAAAAGAGGTCCTCGGCGGACAGGTCGTGCAGGCGCAATAGGGACTGCAGTTCGGTGAGAACTTCAGGCTCAAGAGCCTTGTCTCCCGAGGTGAAGAACTCCTTCAATTCCGCTTCCGCCATTGTTTCTGGTGCTGTTGTACGTGCCGTGAAGTTGAGCGCCGGGAAGTTTGACGACGGAACATTTAGGTGGGACGCGACGAGCGCGTCTTGGTGGGATGGCGCGTAAAGTGTTGGCGGGGCATACAGTGTGGGAAAATTTGGCACGGTTTTGCGACGACACCTCGTGGACGAGCTTCTTGCCCGCTAGACTCTTGATTTTGGTTCTTCTATCCGTACTTGGATACCTAAACGTGCTTCGCTACCACTCGCTGATGGCATCTCCCCAATAAACCCCTACCAGACAATATTGTTGCGAGCCCAGTCCTCCTGACGATCGGCCTCCTGCTGTGCCATGTAATCCTCCGTGGCCGTTCTGGCCATCCGAGACGGAGCGAACTTGACGACGGCCTCCGTGCTGACCTCATACTTAACAGTACCGTCCTTGTGCTTGGCGCCGAGGTCCGCCATGCCTCCGGTGAGCTGGTCAAGGTAGGAGCGGTAGTTTTCGGACTTGCGGATGCTGCATCGGGTCGACTCCGACTCGGAGTGGGCGGTCAAGGACGACGCATCCCTGAAGTAGCGCAGACAGCCGGGGCACTGCAGCTTGGCATTGTAGTGCGAGGCCGCTGACTTCATGTGGGTGATGAGAGCGCCGCTGTTGGGGAATGTCTTCCTGTTCTGGTGTCAGTATCTTGCCATGCGGTTAGGGAAGGGGCCACGAACTTGCAGGACGGCTGCGGACACTTGTACTTGCGCGTGAGGGTGTTGTAGTACTTTCTAGGATCGAAGAGCCGGTGAGACGGATTATTCACGTCGTCCACGACTGTCTTCTTGCCATCGTCCGACTGCTGGATGCTCTCCAGGCTCTCAGCGACATCCTTCAGATTGGGAAAGTCCTGGGGCTTGAAGAAGGACGGATGGGCCATGTAGGCCTTGTCGTCGAACTCGGACTGCGCGTCCACAGTGGATACGGCATCGAGGTTGGACTGCGCCTCGAAGGCGGACTGGACGCTGGGGTGGGACACGGGGAAGTAGTCTCCGAACTGGGAGCCGCTGCGCTTCTCGAGCTCATGGGAAAAGGTGAGCTTCTTTGCGCGGTTCTGGTCGACGTCTGCGCGGCGAATTCCCGGGCAGTCGTCATGCTCGAGGTGTCTCATCCACCCAGCCAACCGGACAAACTTCTTCTGACAGCCGGGGCAGGTGAGGCTCTGCTCCTGAGGGTGTGCCTGTTCTCGTTAGTCCATGTTTAGTGCTGGAGATCCGGTTGCACTCACCTCCAGAAGATGCTTGTTCAAGGCGTCCTGGCTGTTGAAGTCGCGGGTGCACATGGCGCAGTGGATGTGGGTTCCTTCGGTCAGCATCGCCATGCGCTTGTGTCCCATCAGCTCCTCGAAGCTGGGGAATCTCCGGCTGCAGACGCTACAGAAGACGGCCTCATGGGGGGCCGGCTTGCGGATCAGAGGCCTGCTGGACGTGCCGCTGGTGACAGACATGGTGATGATTCGAAGCAGTGTGATTTGGAACGAGGGTGAATTTGAACGATTAGATCTTACTGAGACGAAGGTGGCAGGTCTTGTGATGAAGATGGTTCGCTGAATATTCTCTGTGGCGGAGAGGAAAGATGGAAGAGATTCCGATGCCGCTGGTGATTTTATAAGCGAGAGGGTTTGGCTGCGTGCTGAAAAGGAAGGAGAGACGTAGGCAGAGGGAAGGAACGAGTCACTCTTGGCCCCTGTTCAATGACGGGTGCGAATCTGTTCCGTCTCCTATGAATGCGTCTACTTCAGTTGCCAGGACCAAACGCAAAGGTCCCCTCTACAAGTCGCGTCGGCGACGTCGTTTGGCGAGAGACAGCGCGTGTGTTGGCTAGCCATCGTCGTCAATGTGTATGGCTGTCTAGGGCCCATCTCTCGGCCAAGAAGTGGGAGTATCTCCGCCATCACAAGACACACCGACTTTGGACCATCAGGCGTCCTTGAACGATTCACCTTACGAATAAACCTTGAAAATGGCCAAGCAGAGCCGAGCGACGATATCACGGAGACTTCGGTCCTTGGATCAACAAACACAACATATATCTTCAAGGAATGGCAGCAGACCGACCCCTCGTCAATAGAGACCAAGACGTCTCCAAACACAACAACAGAGACTATGGGGAAAGGGATTCGAGCAGTCAATGCAGTTCTCATGAGATTAATATAGGATCCTCAGCCGAACCTTGTGCAGTTGGACCCCTCGTATATCTCGTGTCCAGAGTCCAGAGCTACGAGGAAACCAACTATGGATGGAAAAGCTGCTCGCTGGAACGATGAAAGATGGCACAGCTTCTTGGAAGCCTAGGTGCGTGAAATTATGCTGCCCCCATTCTGCGTCTGGTTCTCGCTAATCATTGTGGGCATCCCCAGAGCCCGGAAACTTGAACCGCAGGCTTTGGCTTTGGTCGCCATCAGTCGGAAACCAATTTCTAATTAGACTACGGGAATTCTGACTATTGAACAAGTTGAAGATGTGTGGTGTGTCCAAACAACATCGGACGGCGGATCATCAGAGCATCCTACGATCTGGCGGGAGAGGGGGAGCACACCTGTCCACACCAAGGCATCTGAGACTCTGCAAGAGCATTTAATCGCCTCCGAGCACATCTGCCCCTTGCCGCACCAGAACCAAATCCCAAGGCCCAAACTCGTCTTGGAAATCCACGCCTTCACATGCTTCGTAGCATCGCAATCGAAGTTACGACCCCGGCACATATGTCTTGAACAGCCAAGCTTTGGAATCGCCATGTGTCGTCGAACCGGAATGCCGATGATGCTGGCCCTGTCTCGGGTGACTCAGATACAGGCCGTTTGAACCGCTCCCTGGGGTCGACGTTCCCAGTCTGCCAACCACCGAAATCCAGTCAGCTGCAACGGCGAGACAGGAGTGTCTGAGACAGTCTGACGTTTCTTTGGCGTGACCTTTGCCATCCAGGCAAGCGAACCCCTCCACCTCACCCAGAAGCCTATGGCGGTCATCGAATACAGGGTTGCCAAGAAGGAGTTCTTCAGGATGGCGGCTGTTCTGCGACGGACCTTTCATGCCGGACGCAGGCAAAGTACGAGACTCCTTTACATCGAAGCAGACATCGAGAACGCCACAGTGATGGCGTGAGTTGACGTGTAACCACGCCTTCCGCGCCTCGCCATGCAAGTGCCCAGATCAGATCGATCCATCTATCCTATCCGAGACACTGCAACACCATCAAGTCAACTTAGAATACAAATAGGACTCATCACCTCGGCATCGCTCGCCAGCGCGCGCCTCGTCCCTCGCCCAAAGATTACAAAATCTTTGCCGCCTATTCAGTGGCCCTCTCCACCAGAACAAAGGAAGGCCGCTCACCAGCCTCCGGCACTAACTTCGTCTGGACATACTTGATTCAAAGAACGAGCCCACCAGCCACTTGCTCCCACAGTTTCCGCGGAAAGACGACAATCGGGTGCGCAAATCTAGACCGGAATCCACCAAAGCAGCGTATTGCCGTTTGGCTATTCTTTTGGTGGCTTGATTCTGCGCCGGCAGCACCGCAGCCCCGGGTTCATCAACAAAGCCACCGGGTCGCTTTCTAGACAAAGTCGGCGATCTCTCTACCCGCTTGTCGACATTCCCGCTAGCCATTGAAGTTTGACCTGCCGGACTGAATAGTCTTAAGGAGAAGGCCCGCCCCTTTTCGTGCTGGCGACCCGCCGTGAGGACCACGTACGAAAATAGGAGGTCGGACATATCGGAGCCCCTATTCAAACATACAAATAGCAACCTCACGGCAAACCCGCACCTCAATTCACAATGTCCCTCGCCCAAAAGCTCAAATGGGAGGCAACAAGCCGTCCCACCTGCGAAATGCCTCTCCCCTTCCTCCCCTTCGTCTTCCTCGCCCACTTCACCCAGACAATAACTTCCGTCCTCACCACGGATGCCCACCGCACAACAGCGAGCCTCTCCAACCACCTCGAGGGCCTGCGCCTTCAGGTCCACGGGCCCGAACACACCTTCCACCCCTTTTCCCGGTTGCCAGCCGAGCTCCGCCTCAAAATCTGGCAGCACGCCTGCGACCACCCGCGGACGCTCCTCGCAACACATGCGCCGAACCCGACTTTACTTGCAGTGAACCGTGAGGCGCGGTACGAGGCCTTGCGGCGGTATACACTCGTCCGGCTAAACACCTGGGGCGACAGGCGGATCTACATCGATTTCTTGCGGGACAGCATTGCCGTCGTGGAGGGCAAGGGTGGCGGCGGATTCCCTGTTCGCGGGGCGAGGCACGTCATTGTCGTGTGCGAGGAGCCGTTTCGGAACCCGGGTTCGTGGTTGAAGTGTCGGTACCGGGCTGGGTTGGAGACCTTGACGCTGGTGCTGAGCGGGACGAAGACAGGCAGCAGGATTCCTGCGCCGCTTCCTGAGATCCGGGAGCTGTGTACGCCCGAGGAGGTTCAGCTGCGGCTTGGGTACTTGAAGGAGGAGGCGGATAGAATAGGGGAAGAAGTGAGAGAGTTGGCCGAGGGGTGGGGGAAGACGCGGATCCGCGTGGGGGAGTTCATCTGAGCTCCAGAGGCAGAGACAATAACGGAGACGGAGGACGAAGCGTAATGATCCATCGACACGACATCACAATACCCATTTCCATGTAGTCAATCTTCTTGATTCTAAACTCGTACACCATCCTACAAACCCTCAGAGCTTACTCCATCCAAGATAAACCTCCCCGAGCCTCAACTGCTCAGCCGCCTCCTTCACCATCTCCTCCACAATCTCCCCCGCCGGCTGAATCCTATCGATCGCGCCCGCAACCTGCCCCATCAGATGCGGAATCTCAATGTCCTCCCGCCCCTGCTCGAAATCATGCTCAATCGGCACCGTCCCGCCCTCCGTCAACCTCTTAATCTCCTCCGGCCGCGCGTGCCACCCGCGGATATACTCATTCGTCTTCATCCTCAGCGGCCGCCCGCTAATCACCAGCGTCCTCTCCGTCCCCTCGAACCCGCACGACACCACCTCCTCCTTGTGCTCCTGGCTACAACCCGCCTCCACGCTCGCCACGAACCGCGTGCCGACCCACACGCCGACGGCCCCCTGCATCAGCGAACTCGCCAGGCTGCGGCCGTTGTACATCCCGCCCGCGGCGATCACCAACGCCGTGGACCCCTTGAGCATGGGCGGCTTATACCGCCTCGCGACGTCCACCACCGCGGGGATGAGCACCGAGTTCGCCACGTCTCCCGTGTGTCCGCCCCCTTCGCCCCCCTGCGCGCAGATAATATCCACCCCCAAATCCAGCGCCTTCACAGCGTGCTTCGGATGCCCGACCATATTCATGACATAAATCCCCGCCGCGTGCAACCTCTCAATCACTTCTTTGGGGGGAACCCCCACGGCGCTCACAAACAACCGCGCGCCAGAGGCGATCGTAATGTCGATGAGCTCGTCGAGCTTGCCGCCCGTGTAATCGTGGTTCGTCTTGCGCGCGTTCCCGCCGACCTGCGGCAGCGCGAGGTCCACGCCGAACTGCAAGTCGGGGGACTTGAAGTTCGCCTTCATCTCGGCAATGATCTCGCGGAGTTGGTCGGGGGTGTATTGGAAGCCGCCGATGACGCCTAGGCCGCCGGCGTTGGAGACGGCTGCTGCCAGGGGGCCGCCCGAGGTGCGGGCCATGCCGGCGAGGAGGATCGGGTGCTGGATGCCCAGGAGCTGGGTTATGGGTGTTGTGATGGGGCCGGAGGGTGCCATCTTGACTATGGTCTGTCTTACACTGGTCTTGGCGAGGAGTTGTGCTGGTAGTCGCTCTCTGGTTCTCAAAATGGCAAATGGCGCATAGAGGAAGCGTAAAGTGATGTACAAATCAAGAAAGCGCAATAAACAGCCAAGAGGTTGGGAATAAAAGGGAGCTCAATGACACGCCTGGAGCTAGTAGTCGAGTAGTCGTGCCGAAGCACCTAGGTAAATCCGGGGTGAAGAGTGTGGGGTTGGGGGCGATTGGGGGGAGCTCTTTGCGGGGAATTCACACCGAGGCAATTGCCTTGTTGGGACAGCAGCTCGCCCGCCCGTGACCCCGACCCCTACCTCCGGCCCCCGAGCGGCCTGAAACGGGCAACCACAGCGGCATGTGAGTCGGCCATTCTCTGCTCCGTCCTCCGTCCGACCGTCCTTCCGTCATGGATAATAGGCCCAGCAGTCACGACATCACGGCACGAAGGGGGAAAAAAGTCAAATTGAGTGCGCCGCGCCATGCACTGCTTCTATTGAAATGCTGCCCTCATCTCCCTGCATTGGTATCGTTATGACATGATTATCGTTGGCGTCGCCCAACTAGTATACAATAAGAACCACGTTGTACACGTCCCCTGGGCACTCTGGTCTATCGAAAGCTCGGTAGACGCGCCGGGACGAACTCCTCGGTCCGTATGTACTGCTCTTGTGTGGTGGACCGGATGACGGGCGCGTCGTCGCCGTGCGTAGACCTCGGCGGCGATCTTTGACTCGGAGAGTCTGACACGTAGTCCACCTCGTCACTTTTGGCGTAATCCACTTCGGACGCTGCCCGCTCCTCGGACGTCGGCTCCTCCCCGGCTTCGTGCAGCCCCCGTTCCGACGCAAGCTGCAGCGCCGCCTGCCGCTTGCGTTCGACCTCGTCGTCCTCCTCTCTCCTGATGCGCTCCTCTTCCCTCTGCAGCTCCTCCATCGAGGCCTCCATGGACGGCGCGACGGGCGTATCCGGCGTCGTGGGCCCGCTCGTCGAACTCCGCCGCACGCTGGGACTGAGCATGGAATGGCTGGAATCGATCGTCGCCCTCGACACCGTCCGCGATATGGGCCGTCCGTCGGCCCGCCGCTTGCCCTTGCTCGCCTTTGTCCTACTGCTGCTGCGGTCGTCTCGGACCTTGTCCAGGACCATGAACTCGTCGTCAAACGGCACGGCGTCCTCCTCACCCTCGCCGTCGCTGGGGAACAAGTCGCCCCGTGACCGGTACGAATCCGACGACACCCCGGACCCCGTCGTCCCGCTGCGATTTCTAGTCTTGGCGGTCCGGCTCTGGAAGACGTCGTGGCCGTCGTTATCATCGTCGTCATCAGAATCGTGCGCAAGCAGCGGCTCCGTCTCGCCCATGCCCATCTCGCCGTGCTGCCGCGGGTGATCCTGCAAATCCGCCGCGCTCGGCTTGTAGCGGAGCGTCTTGCCCAGCTTCCACGGTAGCTTGCCCAGGAACCCAATGGGCTGCGTGCTGGGGATCACCGTCGGATCGGACTCGAGCGCCTTGCTCCCTCTGCCCCGCGTGCCGTAGCTCATGCCGCGTTTTCGTTTCGGTTGATCCTGCTGCACCTCGCCGCCCCCCGTGTTGTTCTTCTGCTGCGACCCCGTGCCCGCGAGCAGGCGGTCCCAGTCGTCGTTGCCCCAGCCGCCCAGGAACCCTCCGTCCTGGTCCTCGGCGTACCAGTCGTCGTAAAAGTCGAAGCTGTATTCGGCCCTCCCGCCCGCGCGATCTCGTTCCCGTCGCCTCCTCGCCCGCTCCTCGCGGTCGCCAAGACACGGGTTGGCGCATTGCTCCAGGGAGGCGGCGAGGGAGGCGAGACACGGGTTGATGTAGTGGTGCTGGAAGCTCCAGATGCCGGCGGCGGCGTTCTCCGTCACCTCGCCGGCGTTGTGGGAGATTTGGTTCCATCGCTGGCGCAGCCGCGGGTCCTCCAAGAAGGCCATGGTGGTGATGGCTGCTGCAGGGTGTCGAGGGATGACGTCGCGGGCATCAAGAAGGGAACCAAAGGGAAGGAAGCGGATTTTTAAACGATCGGCGCGGCCTCGACCCGGGGTGCAAGCAAAGGGCAAATGTCGAGGCCCTCGTTATCGAATTGCTGGTGATGGATATTCAGTTGAAGAAAAGTCCAGAGGCGAAGGGAGCCATGGGACGTGGATTGGGCGAGTAACGGTTGGTTTCAAGTGCGCCGGAAACAAAAGGCAGCCTCACCTCAGCTGTCAAAAGTTGGGCTCAACATTCCGCTGGTTGCAGCAGGCGGGCGCGGGCGCGGGCGCGGGCGCAGGCGCAGGCGTAGGCGTAGGCAGTCAGGGTGGCACTCCCTCGGGGGCCCTTGGGGTTCGCTGCAGCTGCGGGTGCGGGTGCTGATGCAAGCCCAGTGCAGTGGACTTTCGGATTGTCAAGGTCCATGGGCCATGGCAGGTGCGGTGGCACTATCTGTGGCTGGTAGCCCCTTATCGCAGACTTTCCGGACGGATAAGGCACCCCCAAGGCACCTTTGGGTGGGATTGACTTTGTGGATCCGGGGAAATTGCAGACCTCCCGCCAGGTTGCTGACCAACTGTGGCTTAGCCTCTGGTGAGACCCCTGGAGATCGACGTCACCCCTTCAAGGTATCGGGAATGCATCGTCATTTATAAACTTTGGGCCTCGCAACATTTGACTTTGGGGTACAGTCCCCGAGACTCTGTAAACTTTGCCAAACAAAAGCACGTGGAGATTGATTGTATTCCGAACCACTACAGACGCCGAACGCTGCTAATCTAGACAGAGCTTGCCAAGGACCATCATCATCTCAACCCCTGTGCTTGTTTGCTCATAGAAATCATGACTGCCATGCCCCTCGTGCCAGCCAAACCCATTGAAAGAGGTCAATGAGTGCCAGGCCAAGAATGCAGCGCACAAAGGTCCTAAGAGAAGACCGACAACAGCGCATTCATCTTTGCCTGGCAGAACTGCCCGACTCGTGAAAGAACACGGCCAGTCTTCTGCTTGAGAGACACGTGCTTCTTCTTGTGATGCCACATGGGCAAGATGGCGGCCGTCTCGCTGGTGGACTGGGCATCGAACGCAGGCCCCACCGGTGTAGCCCCCGAAACGCTCTGTCCGGATTCCTAGTGGCCGTTCGTTGCAGCTTGGGGTACTGGTGGTCTCTCTGGACCGTAGGGTCTGGGGGGTTCTGGCTCTCCAGGCTGGGGCTCCTCCTCCGTATCATCGTCAAACTCGCTCGGATCCTCCTCGCCCTCCTCCTCCTCGTCGTCCGAGTAGTCGCTGCCGTCCCCGTCCATGTGGCCGTTGCTGTCCGAGTAGCAACTCTCCAGTGTCGCCGCTGCTCCGGGCGGAACCTTGCGGCCCTGCTGCTGCATCTGCTCGATAATGCTTCTAAGCTTCTCGGCTCTCTTGATCGCCTCGGCCGCCTTCTTGCGCCAGTCCTCGCGCTCCTCGGCCATGCGGATGATGTTGGCATTCGTCGCCTCGTGTTTGCGCTTCATCGTCTCGTTCTCCTTCTCCAGCCGCTTCGTCTTCTTGGACATGTCCTCCATTTCCTTCCGAAACGTGAGAAAGAGGTCGTTGCTGTTGTTGAGCGTGTCCTCAACCTTGATCTGTCAGCAAAAGCTCAGCCCAAACCTCTGCAACTTTTCATCAGTCATCATACCTGCTTGAACTTGTCCACGTAGACGTTGAGTTGATTCCGAAGCTCCGTCTCCGTCTTGGTAAAGGTCTGAACCTGCGCCTGGAGATTCCGCGCTCTCGTCGACTCGGCCTCTGCGAGCTTCTTCTCTCGTTCGTAGCGCGCCA